AAAAAAACCTTCTATTTTTGGTGTAGTGATCAGGTTGTTATAGCCCAGGGGTCGTTAACCAAAATAACAAGAAGAGCCTATTTTCCGAATTCGGTAAAAACGAACTCAATATTTCAAGAGGTGCAATGCAATGTGAATACGAGACGGTGGTCCTGAATAAATAATAACGGCACGAAGTAGTCTTGAAAGCGCCGCATGCGGCTCTGAAGATGCAGGTTACTGACCCCTGTTTTGGACGGACAGCTTACGGAAGTGGAGCTCGACATTTGAAGGGAGATCTTTCTTGAGTTGTATTTCAGCAAACGTTGATGTGTCTCATTCTTAGACAAAGCTAACAAACGTTTGAAAATTAAAAAAAATACAAATGTTGGTGGTGAATATTAATGTGTTATCCGAGTGGAATGAATGTTGCGGGGAAGGTTTCTCTAACGGCTCAGCGTTCCCAATTTAAACCTCGTGGCAAGGCACTGATTGACAGGCGTGAATGGAGGGTTTTGTGGCGTTAGTTTGAAGGTAAGCACAGCTGTGTATATCAGCATGATTATAAAAAATAATATAACACCTATTATCCGTGATCCGCTTATCTACAATTCCAGAAGTGACTTGCATGGAATCCTTGATGGTGCTTTTCTGTAATCCATAAATCCCAGCAGATTGGCTGAATATTGCATGATGGGTAATACATAGTTCATCATAAGCATGGCACTGCTGCCATGGAGAAGGCCTTGTGCTGCGGTGCTAGTTCCGTATGAGGAGTTGTTGCATTGTAGAGCCCATGGCAGGGCAAAATAATATCGGTGTTCAAACCAGCTCGAATAACTTCAGATCACGTTGCCCCTGATCACCCTTGACCAGGCGTTGTCATAGTAAACGGTGCGTGTGTCTGCGATAAATGCAAAGCGAGCGTCGCAAACCTCCACGCCACAACATCGCGGAGCTTAAGGAATTCCCAGCATCCAACGCGTGTGTTTACTGTGATAATGAGTATTTATCACGGCTCGGCTCAGGATTGGCTCTTTTCTCAAGTGGCCCGGCTGAGAGGCAACGCGCGTGGCTTGAGCCAGCACTGCGCACGGCCCCAGCCACGCTCGGGGACTTAGCACGGAGCCGAGCCTGAGCCCAAGCCACGGCTCAGCCGCTCGTGCGTCAAGCAAACTGAGCGGTTCAAAGCCTGAGCGTTGCCGTGCTGGTGGAGGCCGAGCGAGAGTCGAACTGTAGACTGAGAAATACGGCCCTTCCATCACCGCTCATTCTGTGTGCAGGCGTTGCCACCGGGCAACGTGCAGAGGAGGCCCGCTGATTTCATCTCTCTGACACTCCGCAACTGTGCAACTGTTTGCTGGCCTGCTTTCGAGCGCTGCCCTTCCATAGCACGGACATCAGGCACCGAGGGTTCATCGGAATTCCTCCGGTTTGGATTGCCAGAGGTAGAAAAGTTGCAGTAATCTGACCGTGAGACTTGGGAGAATGAATGCGATGCCATAATTTAATTTTGAGTTATAAATCTCACGGTAGTCTTAAGTCTAACCACAGGCATGCACACTTGAAGCTTTGTTTTTAATCCGCATACGAAATGCCTCAAGCCTGTGCACATGTGGGTAATGTTTTTTTTATGTAAATCCATAGGTGGAGTTTGACTTCCATATTTGGGTGGGGTGGCAGGGGTTCGCTTTGTCCCTCACATTAGGAATATCGGGTACATATAATTCATGTTTTAAAATATTCATTGTAAACTACTTAAAATTAATTAATAAAGGTGTCCCGTTTGGGGTGGGGGCATTGCCCACCCCCCACCGCCAACTCCGCCCATGTGGAAATCACAACATACTCAGGAGCATTCCTGAGTCATCATTGCATTTCCTCGAACAGATCTGTTGTTTTAACTTTCCATTTACATTGTTACCAAGGGAAATCCACACGGTTCTAGTGGGTTTGTTACGTCAGTCTTGATTTGAAGCTTTCGTGACTGCAGGAATCCATACTCTTTGGTTCTTTCGGTAATGTCACGTAGGTATAATTATTTTTTCTTCCTACGTGACTTTACCGAAAGAACCAAAGAGTAATGATTTGCTTTCGTGACTGCAGGGATTCATATTCTTGGTTCTTTCGGTAAAGTCACGTAGAAGGGAAACAATGAAATAATAAATATATAGAAAACAATAAAATTCTCATGACGTTTCGACTGCAACACAAGCAATCATCATCATCATGTGTGAAAACCACAGCCAGAAAATTTGAACCTTCTACGTAACTTTACCGAAAGAATCAAGAATATAACCAAAGAGTATTGTTACATCAGGATAACTCGAGCTGTCCGAGCTGTGCCCAAAACTGCACGGTAGACGGTGGCCCTGGTAAGGTTTATTTATAGGGGGGAATTTTGGCTATTTTAGTCGCAGTCATTTTTGTTTGTGCCACCACAGAGGACAACGACAAAGATCGCCCGTGTAGCCTTAACAGGCTGTTGGGGCAAGTGCTGCTAGCGAGGACCTATGAAGGCCGGCACGGCACACGAGGGCAGTGGGTGGCAAGCACCACGGCCGACCGCCTTTGTCTCCCCAGTGGCGATGTTTACTACATACCGCACTGAGCACTCATTTGAGGCTGAGTGGACCTAGGAGGAGACCCAGGACCGTTTCAGATAATCGCCACCGGTGTTGGCCGGGAGCGGGGATCGAACTCGGGCCGCCGAGTTCGTAGCGCAGCTCGCTCACTGCTACACCACCGCTCCCCACACTCACGGCACACTGACGCACACCCACGGACGTACACTGTTCCATACGTGGCACGTGTGGTATCTGCAATGAGCTGCCTCCTTCACATTGCTCCCCCTGAGCTCTGTGTATGGAAACCTGCCACCCCAATCTTCTTAGCTCCAATGTAGGCCTCGGCAAGGTAAGGTAATGTACCCTCTTTACCGGGTACAAGGGTAAAGGTAAAGGTGTCGACATGCCAAGGGGTAAGGTAAAGGGTAGGGTTTAGGTAGCGCGAAGTATTATCCGGTAAACACCTTGTTTACCGTAAACACCTTGTTTACCACAAACACCTTGTTTACCATAAACACCTTGTTTACCACAAACACCTTGTTTACCGTAAACACCTTGTCTACCGTACACACCTTGTTTACCGTACACGCCTTGTTTACCGTACACACCTTGTTTACCGTACACACCTTGTTTACCGTAAACACCTTGTTTACCGTACACACCTTGTCTACCGTACACACCTTGTGTACCATAAACACCTTGTTTACCGTACACACCTTGTTTACCGTACACACCTTGTTTACCGTACACACCTTGTTTACCGTGAACACATTGTTTACCGTACACACCTTGTTTACCGTAAACACCTTGTCTACCATACACACCTTGTTTACCGTAAACACCTTGTTTACCGTAAACACCTTGTTTACCGTAAACGCCTTGTTTACTACAAACACCTTGTTTACCATACACACCTTGTGTACCATAAACACCTTGTTTACCGTAAACACCTTGTTTACCGTACACACCTTGTTTACCGTGCACACCTTGTTTACCGTAAACACCTTGTTTACCGTAAACACCTTGTTTACCGTAAACACCTTGTTTACCGTACACACCTTGTTTACCGTACACACCTTGTTTACCGTACACACCTTGTTTACCATAAACACCTTGTTTACCGTACACACCTTGTGTACCATAAACACCTTGTTTACCGTACACACCTTGTTTACCGTAAACACCTTGTTTACCGTACACACCTTGTTTACTGTTAACACCTTGTTTACCGTAAACACCTTGTTTACCGTACACACCTTGTGTACCATAAACACCTTGTTTACCGTACACACCTTGTTTACCGTAAACACCTTGTTTACCGTAAACACCTTGTTTACCGTAAACACCTTGTTTACCGTAAACACCTTGTTTACCGTACACACCTTGTTTACCGTAAACACCTTGTTTACCGTACACACCTTGTTTACCGTAAACACCTTGTTTACCGTAAACACCTTGTTTACAGTAAACACCTTGTTTACCGTACACACCTTGTTTACCGTACACACCTTGTTTACCGTAAACACCTTGTTTACCATACACACCTTGTTTACTGTACACACCTTGTTTACCATAAACACCTTGTTTACCGTACACACCTTGTTTACCATAAACACCTTGTTTACCGTACACACCTTGTTTACTGTAAACACCTTGTTTACCGTACACACCTTGTTTACCGTACACACCTTGTTTACCGTACACACCTTGTTTACCGTACACACCTTGTTTACCGTACACACCTTGTTTACCATAAACACCTTGTTTACCATAAACACCTTGTTTACCGTAACGTACACACCTTGTTTACCGTACACACCTTGTTTACCGTAAACACCTTGTTTACCGTAAACACCTTGTTTACCGTAAACACCTTGTTTACCGTACACACCTTGTTTACCGTACACACCTTGTTTACCGTACACACCTTGTTTACCGTACACACCTTGTTTACAGTAAATACCTTGTTTACCGTAAACACCTTGTTTACCGTACACACCTTGTTTACAGTAAACACCTTCTTTACCTACTACCTTGTTTACCGTAAACACCTTGTGTACCATAAACACCTTGTTTACCATAAACACCTTGTTTACCGTACACACCTTGTTTACCGCTCGCTAAAAGCTCCGTGGCGCAGTCCGTGGCCTCCATTTAAAATTGGAATCATCGGGATTATTCTAGAGATTAATAAAGCGCTCTACCTAGCATTTACCTGTTATACACCTTGTTCATGTGTAGAAGTACCCCAGTAATTACCCTGTAATCGTGTAATTTGTATGGGGTAAGGGTAAAAGGTAGGGTAAAGGTAGCCTCGTTGTTTTGACCTTTCACCTTACCTTGCCGAGGCCTACTCCAATTGTGCGGCAGCGTCCGGATAGCGATGACAGCCGGCGTTCTATGACGATGACATAACGCGGTCCGTTCCTCCCCGTGGCCGCGCTGCGTGCTTAGGTGAACTCTGCGGAGGGTTGCTGAAGGGGAGCAACGGGACGGTGGAAAGCCCCGGCTACCCCTACGGATACCCCAACGGCGCCAACTGCACGTGGATCATACAGACGGAGGAGCCCAACCGCATCCAGCTGGTCTTCCTCTCCTTCGCCCTAGAGGAAGACTACGACCTGCTCGTCGTCTTCGAGGGCCAGCCCAGCCAAGGGAACCTGCGCATGAGGTAACGTGGTTTGGGCTCGTTGCACCGCTGCCGCTGCTGCTGCGTGGGCCTGTTAAGGGGACCGAATCAAGCCCCGCGAATCGCTGGTGGAAGGGCCTCCACTAGAGGGAGCTCTCGAGAGCCCCCCCCCCCTCTAAGGTACTTGGCCTCCTCTTCAATGCTGCGATGGACATCTTGGAAGGTCGTGGGCAAGTACCCACGACTTTAACCCCGCCAGGTGCGGCCTGCTGACCGGCTCGCTGGGTTGCACAGGGGGTCGGGGTGGGGGGGGGGGATTCAGGAAACTCGCCCCATTGTTTATACTTTGTCGTGCCGGACGGTCCAATTGAACCGGAGGACATTCGGCGGTGCGAGGTCGGTGCGCCGAGCCTCCGATGAGGTGTGTACGTAGTGTAAGTTGGCTTGGGCGAATAATTTATGAGACAATTTCAAAATTAAGTGACAGAAACGCAAAAGAAATACAAGAGGTTGTCATTGAAAAAGGAGCACCACTCTCATCTGCCCTAAATTATGTTAACCCGTTGATACTTTAGTAGCTCCTTCACAAAATCACCGCTGCAATGACGAATGGCTCGATGGAGGCAAGGGTTTTGTGGCTCGAAAAAGACTCAAATCCACGAGGATACAAGGGGGCCAGGAGATGGCAGCACAGCAAGAGAGTGTGTGTTTGTGAACCCGGTCCGTGTGGGATTTCTTGTTTTAGTGCAGCGTTGAACGGCGCTCTCTCGTCAAAAGGTGCATGACCCATCACGCGAACGGCGGTCATCCTCGCCGCAGCGGCTTTCGGCTGCTGCCCATCGAACAAAGACGGCGGTCACTCCTTTGTGCGCACTCAGATGCGCTTCTGCGTCCGTCTGGAACGCTCTTCGTTCCGATATTATGAAGCCGCTGGATCTCGCGCACTTTTAAATCATCTAGTTTGAAAACTCATTTCTTTATGCCTGCTTTTTGTGTTTAGTTTGTTGTCCTTCTCCCCGCACCTCCAATTAGTACGGTTGGCTACGTACGGCGCGGAAGAGGTTCAACATATATGCTTGCATACATTTGTGAGGTGAAGCATCCCATTTTATCCAGTTACCCTGCTGTGTTGCAAGGGAGGCACGGTGGAATAGGCAACAATGGAACAGAATGCATCTGAGGTGGTTGAAGAACAAAAATGAGCAATTAATATTATTAATAGACTAGACGTGAGGCATATTGCCTCTGCATCTCTGATGAGCACGGCTGGATACGTACGTTGCGAGAAGAAGTTCAACGTACACACAAAACAAAGACAAAGATACACACACATACACACGTACACATATACACACATACACACACATACACACACGTACACACACGTAAGTTGTGAGAAGAAGTTCAATGTACACACAAAACAAAGACAAAGATACACACGTACACACGTACAACAACAACAACCGCCATTCGCCACTAAGTGGCGGTGACGTCACCACGACGCTTGTGCCAGGCCATGTGCACCTTGAGGCCACGTGAAGTGTCGAACATCCGCTGGCAGGAGGTCACAGGGCAGACCCAGGTGCCACGGGTCGACTGACTGAGACAACTGGCTGATGCACCACCTGTGCCCCCTACTGTGCCAACTTGCTGTGCTTTAGCCACCCGGCGCTCCGCTCATTGTTGTAAGCGTCGCTCCTCCGTCCTCCTTTGTTGTTGGAGAGCGACTGCCTCCAACTGTCCAATGGCGTCCTTCACGAGCCTCCTCCACAGAGGCCGATCTTGATACCGCTGGTACCAGTCATTGGCAAGCCCACTCAGCTCCACGTCCTCCTGTACCACATCACTCCATCTCTTCTCTAGCCCGTGCCGCGCCCGTTTAGCCCCCTCTATCCAGCCTTGTCTGCCGGAGGAGCTCACCGATGGGACTTTGCCCAGATCTTTCAAGGATTTGTGAGCTCCTCACACAATCCAACCTGGTTAAACCCAGGATGGATCGTAGGCAGGCCAGCCTAAATGTTTCTAACCGGCAAAGATGCTCCATTAGGGGGATCCACACACATACACACGTGCACACACGTACACACACGTATGTTGCACCAAAAACAAGGACGAGGCGCTGAATGGTTGGTGAGGAGGTGAGCTTGACACTAAGAGAACGCGGTGGAGCGGTGGAAACAACCAATATACACACCTGTATGTATGTACATGCATACTTACGTACATACATACACAGATTTGTGTACACACATATATATTACAGTACACACATATGTATATATTGGTTGTTGTATCAAGGGAACGCGGTGCCACACAGGAGCATGGCAAGGGCCTCCGGTACGCGGATTGAAATTGCGAGGCTGCACATCCAATTCCCCCCCTCTCCCATCATAGAACGGCACCCGGGACCCCTGCGGACCCCTGCGGACCCCTACGGCCCCCTGTGCAGTTGCACCGCCTGCACTCCCGACGTCGCCGCGCCATCAGAATGCTCGCTCGTTTGCCTCTTTTGTGCCCATTGATGATCAGCTGCATGATGCAGCGCCGGGGTTCCAACTCAAGTTAAATTCGAAGGGCACATTCATTTTCACTCCAACGCTGTCCTCTGGACAGTCCGGTCCCTTCACCTGATGAAGGCCACTTGTGTTGTGGCCGAAACGTCGTGATTTTTATTTTTTACCTATGTGACTTTGCCGAATAGAACAAAAGAGTAAAGTGCCCTCCTGTTTACTATATCTCAATAATTCAGTTTTTTCCCCACTTGTAAAAAGAAATAAGCCTAAATGAGAGGTTCGCCAAACTTTTCAATTGCAGGCCCCCATCACAAAGAGTTGTGAGGCTCAGTGAGGCTTTCATGGGAAAATAACCAAATTCATTCACTCCAGCTCGGCTGGGCAATCTGGCTTGGCTCCGTGTCTCTATCGTGGTTCTTCTCTTTCCATCACGAATCCCTCATCCCGCGTTGGAATTATTCTACCACCAAACACATTTACATCTTCCTGCGCACAGCCTCTGTCCAGCTGCTATTGCTCAGGCAAAAGTTGAGTTTATATTCAACTACAAGTCCAAAGCTATTCTCTTACCAATCACCTTACTTGTGAATATTTCATTGTAATTGCCAAAACTGCCTCAGAAAACGGTTAACTTTAATTTGCCCTTTTCAATGCCCTCCTCTTTCCATTGGTAGTGACCCTAACTCTAACGTTAACACCTTCAACTTGCTTTTCTGTTATTCCGCTGTCGACAAACCAGGGCCGATCGTGCCCTGTGTTTCCAGCCATGGCTCCAATTTAGTTGTATAACCGTTCAGTTATCAGCGTGTTCATATCGTGGCGATCAACAAAAGCCTTATGTTATGATTCCTGTCATCATCTTGTATACATGTCAACCTGGCTCCCCTGTTATCTCCACCAGTTAGTTTAAAAATTGCACGTTATATTCTCATGCTGGAATGCACTTTTGCTCAACTGTCCCCAAGAAAGGTGACCCATTTCATCTCTCAAACCACTGGCCAATTTGACCTCACTCATGTTCTCTCAAGAGCTGTGGAGTCCATAATTGCTGAGGCAATTGTTCAAGCATTTAGGAAAATATTCTCTAATTAGTGAGCGCCAAATGGGCTCAATAAAGGTCACGCAGCAGCTGTCCTCCGCCCGCCCGTATCCCATCTGAGAGTTATGGCCCCAAAGTGCCTGAGCGAGCCAAGACTTCTCACTCTAAACTTTGCTCACGTCTCTGATAGAGGATAGCACTCGGGACGGTTCCAAAAGCTTCCATCCATTAAAGCAAACTATTTGCTCTTCCACTGCTATCTTTTCATCCGGTTATTCTGTATCGACCATTATTTATGGTTTCTGCTCTGCCACATTTCCTATTCAAAAGTATAACCCAGGGCTCTGTCTTGTCCTTAGCCGCTTTATCTTGTTTATGAATTATCTACTGATCACAGCGTGCAACCCGATCCTCTGTGGCGGCGGCGATGATGACACCACACTTCATTTCAGCTCTTCATTCAAAACTCCAGCTTTGGGTGCCACGCCAACGTGCTAACCGTTGCCGGTTCCCTAGCAGAGCCACGATAACCTTGTCGCACTTCTAAGACGCGGACACTCAATGTTTCCATGGCGCGAGCACAAACACCACCTCGAATCTCTTTGTCGGTCTGTTCCACCTTCTTGCATGGTCTTACTCATGGACTGTGTGTCACCAAACCTCAGTGCTTGTACATAGATCAATTGATTTGTGAAGTTTTGAATGTATTGATGCTATTTTGTCGCGAAATGGAATTCCCAGCACGAGCTGGAAGTTCCCGCAGCACATTTATTATCTTAACTCACGTGAATTGGCAAAATAACACGACGAATTTCCACACAACGCGCATCTCACTTGCGCGTGTCTGTGATCGAGTCTCACGGTATGCCTGCGACATCTCAGATGAGTTGCAACCTCCAGTCCACGCTGGGTTTTGTCCTGGAGACTGCCTTCTTCTCTACCACTCGGCCCCATGGATGTAAGAGGAGTATAACGCAGTCCTTTGACTTTACTATTTGCCACGCAAAGTCATGGATGATAGGAAGGGCTCATCCTTGAACAATGAGGGGAGAATTGTACGTCCGCTTTATCTGTTGCACAACAGGGGTCATGGATGTTCTGCGGCGTCTGCTTCTGTTGGCCATTCTCTAATGTGACGCCGCTTGCACGTAATGAATAGAATTATTGAAAACGGACCTCCCCACATCCTTCACCTCCCCACATCCCTCATCTCTGCACTCCAGATGATCCAACATGCCCACGGGCAGACTTCTTATCCACACACGTTAATGAGGCCACATTATCCCAAGACACCAACCCCTCCGCTGGCTCCGAGTCCAATCCCTGTGCGGTACGAGGCCGTGTATCCACATTGTATTGTTTGAGATCCGATTGTTACAAATATCCCGTGTCCACATTGCTACGACTTGTTTGCCGCCACGTGTGATTTATTTTACGTGGCATACGATATGCGCTGCCTCGTGGCTTAATCTAATACCTGTTTGGCTTAA